ACTGGAAGGTTGGTGGTTCAAACCCACCAGCTGCTCTGTGGAAGGAAGATGAGGCAATCAATTTCCATGGATTTACCACCTTGGAAACCCAATGGGGGTCAGTATGAGTTGGAATTGACTCAATGGCAGTGGAATGAAATGTTTTGGAACTGGCCAGATGGAACATGCGGTCTCTGCTGTAAAGTAGGTGCAGTGCCTGGGCCTCTGGCCATGGTGCTGACCGTGAGCTCCTGTCATCTGTCCTGACCCCTCTCCCTGACTCCGCACATCCAGGCAGCCATGGCAAACCACCTGGAGCAACGTTTGTACCAGCCCCAGCAGCTGCTAGAGGACCTGAGGGGAACGGATGCTCATCAATTCCGCACCGCCATGAAGTGCCTCTTAGAAGACAAGAAGGACCGCTTGGTGAGGTGTTCTTGGCATCGTGGGAACAGGGAAGTCCAGGGCCAGTAGTTATTTGTTGAATTGAATGTGTCTGACTCAGACTTTGACCCTCCTGTATCTCTCCTTACATCTTTCTTCCTCTGATAGAACCCCCCCCCGGAAGCTTAGGATCCTTGGTTCTCACTTACTTCTCCAAAGCTCAAATGAAGAGCCTTATGGTTCATATTCTAATGGTTACTAAGAAGTGGGGGGCAGGGCACTGAGGACCTTCCAGTAATTTGGTTCAGTAAACATCCATGGCTGGCGCTGCGGCTCAGTTGGTTAAAGTAGCCTGTCTAGTAAACAGGAGATCCTGGGTTCGAATCCCAATGGTGCCTGGGCTGAACAAGAGCAGTATGTTATTGGGAGCTCTATAGGCATAGTGCCTAAGGCATTTGAGTGCCAACTAGAAGGCTGGTGGCTCAAACCCACCAGCCACTCCTCAGAAGGAATATTGGACAATCTACTTCTGTAGAAATACTGCGTTGGAAACCCAAGAAGGGGTCGCTATGAGTCAGAAATGACTTGACGGCAGTAGTTTTTTTTTGTTTGTTTGTTTGTTTTTGTTTTTAAACATCCATGAATGAAGACTTTGAATCAGTGGGCAGTGGTTTCAGAGATGAGAGACTGTCAGCCCTCAAGGAGTTCACCATCTGGAGAGGTGACAGGAGACAGAGATAAATCCGATTTACAAAATGAAGTTAGTGATATAAGAGCATTACAGAGCAAGGTCTCTGGCCCCAAAAGGTCCCTGGGATCCAGAAGGGTGAGATTTAGTGTTTAATTTGTTGGAGACAGGTTTGGGTGGATCAGTATTTTCCCCAAAAAGCTGAAACGTTTTGATCATTATGTGTTTATATTAATGTCCATTATTAAAATATAATGAATACTTTGAACCTGTGAGTTTAGTAGGGATGGAAAGTTTTCCTTTGAAGTGAATTTAAGTTAAAAAAGTGTTTGTATAGGAAAATATGACATGAATGATAGTAAAGGCAGTGCAAAGATAAGGGTTTATGACCTATCAGGTGTTATTCTAGGGAACAGCAGCAAACTTTTCCATAAAGGACTAAACCCATTGTCCTTGAGTCAATTCTGCTTACAGTGACAATCTAGGACACAGTAGAACTTCCCTATAGGCTTTCAATGGGCTCAAATACAGCAAGGATTGTGAGGGTGGTATGTGACTGGGAGCTGTTTTGTTCTGTTGTATATAGGGGCACTATGAGTTGGAGCTGACCCAACAGCACCTAAGAACAACAACAATCTTTACTGAAGTAGATTGGCATATCTTTGTCCAACAGAGCAGCTGATGGGTTTGAACCACTGACCTTTCAGTTGGCAGCCCAGCACTTAACCACTTTGCCACCAGGGCTCCTTGTAAAGGACAAGATAGTAAATATTTGAAGCTTTATGGACCACACCATCTCTGTTGCAATCACTCACTTCTGGCATTGTAGCTCCAGTGCAGTCACAGTTGATAAGTTAAAAAAGTTGATAAGTAAACAAAAGGGCATAGCCATGTTCCAGTAAAACTTTATGTGTGAAAATAGGTAGCAGGCTGGATTTGGCCTGTGCAATATAGTTTGCCAACTACTTTTCTAAGGATTTAACATGCATCGACTCATGGAATGCTCAGCAGGACTTTCTGACGTAAGGATGATAAGAATCTTACTATTTTAATAGGCAGATAAGGAACCTGGGACTTGGAGAGGTTGAGTCAGTAACTTCAGGTTATACAGCTTGGAAGCGGCAAAGCTGAGTTTGAATCTCGGCAACTGACTTCAGCTGTGGGCCCCTCTGGGCATCTGGTGAAGCCTGAGAGATGCTCTTCCTCAGAATAATATTTTAAAATCATTAAAGTAAGAGTCTTAGTGCAGGTCTAATAACTTCTGGAATTTTGAGGGAGTGTTGAGTGTAAATGAGATTCCGAGACATCTGTAGCAATAGTGATGTGTCATGAAAGAATCTGTGATTTCTACTGATGACAAAGCCAAAGATCTTTCTTTGGTGCCTGTGTTCATCACCAAAGGAAATGCCAAGTGTCAGTTCTAGTGCTAATGCTAGTGAAAATGAAGATGCAACTTTTTCTTCAATGATCATTAAAAAAACCCCCCAAAAAACCAAACCAAACAAACTCACTGCCATTGAGTTGATTCTGACTCACAGCCACCCCCCATTGGGTTTCCAAGGCTGTAAATCTTTATGGAAGCAGACTGCTTCATCTTTCTTCATAGAGTAGCTGGTGGGTTTGAACCACCAACCTTTTTGGTTAGCAGCCAGGTGTCTTAACCACTACACCACCAGAGCTCCTTCCAGTGGTCACAGACACCCTGACTTCTATCCACAGACCCCTGCTGCAGAACAGGGGTTGATCTATGAAACACCTACAGCCAACATCATAATTAATGGTGAAAGAGTGAAACTTTCCCCTTAAGATCAAGAACAAGACAAGGATGTCCACTGTCACCATCACTATTCAGTTTTGCACTGGAAGTTTGAGCCAGGATGATAAGGCAGGAAAAAAGAAAAGAAAAGACATCCAAGTAAAATTATCTCTATTTATGGATGACATGATCTTATATGTAGGAGCTCTGATGGCGTAGTGCCTTGACTGCTAACCAGAAGGCTGGCAGTTCAAACCCACCAGCCACTTCTTGGAAAGAAGACTGGGAAATCTACTTCCATAGTGATATTGACTCAGAAACCCAAGGAGGGGTCACTGTGAGTTGGATCTGACTCGATGGCAGTGAATGTAGAAAATACTAAAGAATACATGAAACAGCCTACTAGTCAATACATGGAAAGTGTAGGGGATGGTTGGAATTAGACAGTAGTAATGGTTGCACAGCATTATGAATGTACCGAAAGCTACTACATCATATACTTTAATGATGACTTTTATGTTAAGTGGATTTTACCTGAATAAAAATAAGAACCCCTAAGTTGCACTCTTAAAGCATTTGGTTGCTAACCGGGAGGTCAGTGGTTCAAACCTACTAGCTGCTCCATGGGAAGAAGATGAGGCAATCTACTTTTGTAAAGGTTTACAGCCTTGGAAACCCAACGGGAGTTGCTGTGAGTTGGAATTGACTCTATGGGAGTGAACCCACTGGAAGTTGCACTCAACCACTGTACTGGTCAGCCACCTAACAGTAAATGACTGAAGTTGGGAAGTGCTGGGTCATGGCTAAAAGTGTGGGATTGGATGCAAATAAACTTGTTTCAGATATCAGCTTCATGTCTAACTGGTTGTGTTAGTTTGAGCACGTTGCTTACCTTCCCTAACTTTCCTTTTCATTACCTGATGCCTTAGTTTGGGTTCCCTAGAGGAGCAGAAGCAGTGAAGAGTATACATAAATATACATAGAGAGATTTACTTCAAGAAATGGCTCACACAGCTGTGGGGACTGGCAAGTCCCAAATCTATGTGTCAGATGACAGGCTGAAGACCTATGCTGGCTCATGTGGTTGCAGGGGCTGATGAACCCAAAATCTGTAGGTCAGATGGTAGGTGGGAGGCCTCTGCTAGCTCACACAGTTGGTGGAGTTGGTGAATCTGCAGGTCAGATGGCAGACTGGAGACCTCTGCTGGCTTATGTCCCAAGAACTGGAGGTCAGATGAGAAGATTGCAGGATCAAGAGAGAGAGTAAGCTTAGCCAGAAGATCCATTTATATACTGGATGCAGGCCACACCCCCCAAGGAAACTCTCCTTCTAACTGATTGGCTACTCGTATCTGATCACAAAATGGAAGGTGATGGATCACATAACGTCTGCCAGAACATTCAGAATATGATTCTAGCCTAGCCAAATCAACACATAACATTAACCATCACACCTGTGATATTGAGATAACATTTGCTGAGTGTTTACTAGGTACCAGCTGTTTTACATACATAATCTCATTGAATTATTACATATATCTATGCTTTCTGCCATCAAGTTTATTCTGACTTACAGTGACCCTGTAGGGCAGAGTAGAATTGCCTTATAGTGTTTTCAATGCTGTGTATCTTTATGGGAGCAGACTGCCTCATCTTTCTTCCATGGAATGGCTGGTGGGTTCAAATCACTGACTTTTTGGTTAGCAGCCAAATGCTTTACCATTGCATCACCAGAGCTTCTTGCATACATCTAATAAACCAAACCAAACCCACTGCC